CTAGTAATTGCATTAAAAAGGAAATGATTAAATTTGTAATTTTTATTAATTAGTTCCCAAAATTTATAATATATTATATAAAATCAATTATAATTGATTATAATGGATTATATTAACCTTTGAAATATTAGGATTATAATCCATGCTTAAAAAATTATAATCGATCATTTTCTGATTTTATAAATACCGACACAATAATGACAACATAAACGGTTAAGATCCATTCACGCTCGTCGGTGCGGGTAAGCATAATTACCGATGCCTCTGCTTAAATCAGATCCTTCGTTGATAACTCAAAATGTATTGCTGTGATCATCTTTTATGTTTACAGAACCTATTAATCTTTTTAAAAGGTTGACTTCTTTAGCTCACTTTACTCTTCGAACCTCTGTGTAGAAATTCTTCTCGTTCAATCAAAACTAGCCAATTAAAAAATCCTCGAAGAACCTCACTTCAGTTAATTTTTTTTACCGTATGACTATTTTTCAAAACCAATTGTTTTTTTTAATGATATTTCATGGCTTAGAGTATTTGGGTATCAGGTTTACGGTATACCAGTAAATATAAATACTTATTAATATTTATAATGAGAGTTGAGACAAACGAAAAAAAATGACAGAATTTGTTTTTTCCGATAATGTAATTTGTATGTAAAAAACTTTTCATTTGAAACTCAGAGACCAATTAGAGTTATTGTTTAGTTCAAATTGTTATCTTTCAATTTTTCAATTTTTGTTAAAACTTCAAACATAAAAATTTAAGTTTGGGTTTTCTGCGTAGTTTGGGCGAACAGTTTTAAATAGTTACCAAAAATTTCTAACCCTGAAATTTATCTCTTTTTTTTTCATTAAGAAAGTAGAATTGAACTAAGCGACTACCTATTGTACGCGACTTCTGCATGTCGTTGAACATTCAACGTTATCTGGTTGACCATTCAAAAACTCTTGAAGTTGTATAGATTTGGAAAAACATAAAGAAATTAACAGAAATAATAAAACCTGAAAAAATGAGCAAGTTATTTTCATTTATTTCAAAATGGTTTTTTTTTTGAACAAGAGCATGCAATTTTTCAACTAAAACAATGTTGTCCAAATCTGATTTTGAAACTTTGAAATAAAATAAAGGCTGGATAGAAATTTTTCAATGAAATCTACCCTAAATCTTATTTTTTGCACAGAAACTATTTAATTTTCATCTAATACATCTATGAAAAAACATCTTGAAAGAATAATTTAAAATCAGTTCACGCTTGATCCAAACAATAAAAACGTTGATTCAACATGTTTTTTGTATACATTAATCGTAGGGTTGTAAGGTAAATTTTCACTTGTTATATCACTTATTACTTTGCATTAGGTTGGTACAACTATCTAACTTCCTCAGGTAATCTAGTCTAGAGAATAACATTTTTGTCGAGCTAACGTGAGATTGGATTTATACACAACCAGGAGATTTTTTTCTGGCTATGAAAAAACTTTAAGAAAATCCTTTTTTCATCTAAAACTTTATAAAGTTTTTCTGGGCTGCAAAATAAACATCAAAAATTAAAAATTTTTTATATTAAATAAAAATGGCACGGGTTATAAAGGATGCTGCATTCGCAACTTCTCTTTCGAAAGATATTTAAAAAAAACGACTGCACTGATTGCATTTTTTTCGTAACAAATATGTTTGCAACAACTCAAATATGTTAACCCTTGGGTGAGCATATTCATGGCAAGTGATAAGTTTTGCATTCTAGCTCGACAGAATGAAGTTTGAAGTTCGGGTCCCATTACTTCTTGAGTGGTGAAAAAATTTCTCCAGTAACCAACAGAGTTTTTTCGTGAGTTCATGTTTTTCATGATCAGAAATCAGTTCACAGAAAAACTGTATAATTGGAAGATTATCATAAACTGCCTTATTAATGTAGACGCATACAATTATAAGGAAGAAAAATTGTAAATTGTGTTTCAGGTATATATTTTTAAAAACAACAATATTATGCTTTTGTTTCTTCATTCTATCCTTTTAAAAAGGAGTGAAAATAACCAGTGATACTATTTCATCTTTTTCATCAGATGCGGCAATTTTTTTTAGCCAAACAGATTGCGCTTTTTCCATTTCAAAAAAGTAAAATTAAGATCTCAGTAACAAAAAATATTTCAATAAAAAATGTTTCGGTCTTTTTCGCTGTAAATTTATTTTTGAACCTTTTTAACAAACATACCTTCACAAGTTTGTTTGACGAGAAAAAATTATAATTTCCAATCTGAATAGTAACAAGAACCTCTCTAAGAAAAGGTTTAAGAAAACGTTTAAGAAAATTTTTAAATAAAGCATGGGCATTTTTCAATTTTTATCTGTTTTCTTGTCAGAAGTTTTCTGAATCTATGCTATAGCTAGCTTTAGAAAATCTCGGAGAGAATCAACTTTGCATTAAGCACAATGCCACAAAAACTAAATATAACAACTAAGTAAAAACAACAATAGTATGCTTTTATTTTTTTATTCTATCCTTTTAAAAAGGAGTGAAAGTAACCAGTGATACTATTTCATCTTTTTGATCAGATGTGGCAATTTGTTAGCCAAACAGATTACGTTTTTTCCATTTCAAAAAACGAAACTTAAGATCTCAGTAACAAAAAATATTTCAACAAAAAATGTTTCGGTCTTTTTCGCTGTAAATTTATTTTTGAACCTTTTTAACAAACATACCTTCACAAGTTTGCTTGAAGAGAAAAAAATATAATTTTCAATCTCTGAATAGTTACAAGAACCTCTGTAAGAAAAAATTTAAGAAAACGTTTAAGAAAGTTTTTGAATAGAGCATGGAATTTTTCAATTTTTATCTGTTTTCTTGTCAGAAGTTTTCTGAATCTATGCTATTGCTAGCGTTAGAAAATTTTGGCGAGAATCAACTTTGCATTAAGCACAATGCCACAAAAAATAAGTATATCAGTAGTCGAGGCAATTTTATCAATGTCTAAGCAATATTTCAAGCTAATAAAACTTTGTAGCTTGAAAGTATAGCCAATTTTATTTCGAAATGTTAAAAAATAATTTTTGTATTAGGAAAAATCTTTGAAAGTTTTGACAGCCGTTTAAAGTTGCAGGAGTTTTTTTGTTGAAAACTGAAAAAATCCAGAAAAAAATCGGAAAAAAATCCAAAAAAAAATCCAAAAAAAAATCCGAAATTTCCAGAAAAGAAATCCAAAAAAAATCCGAAAAAAAATCCAAAAAAAAATCCGAAACACTATGTTAAGCAAAAACTAACATACTTTGAGAAGGCTTTAATAAAAAATTGTTTATGTTTTTTTAATTCGGAACGATTTATATTAAAACTTGTGCTTTAATAGCTCGAACTACATTGCGCGTTAGGTAGCCAAAGTTTTCCAAACCCCCATAACTTTACAAAAAATAAAAACGGTCAAAATGTTTTTTTTTCAGCTGAAGAAATCAGTACATTTTAAATACTAAAACTTTTTTGAAAAATGGCCGTTAGAAAGTCGAAACTAATGTGGATATAAAAACCAAGCCGAGCACAAATACTCTGTCTTTTGCTTCGAAAGTCGGAAAAAAAATTTTCAAAAAAAGGTAGTTTTTGTATAGAGACCACAAAAAATTAAATAAGACTATTTATCTAAAAACTCTGAAAAATCTAGTTCTAAAATCTAGTTTGGAAACTTTTTTTTGGGTACGAGTAGGCTTTTGTTAAGCAAACAAAAAATGTTACAAAAAATTTTGCTGGCGTATTAAAAAGCTTGAGCCTAATTTTTAGAGAATTAATAGGATGGGGACCAGATTTCCAAGTAAGACCTTACCAGGTGCTTAAGTATTACAATTTTTTTTGCAAAAACACAACAGCTACAAACCAGTGGATTTTTACTTGTCAACAATTTCGCTAGGTATTTAGGAGCATTTTTATTATAGGACTTACAAAAACAGTAATTTAAATTCTATAGATCTATCATATGGTACAGTTGTGCCAGCCATATAAATTGCGCTCTGTTCAAATGTTGCTTGTCTGTAGTGCTTAATTTTTTTTATTTAATAACTCTAGGAACTTTCAATCAAAAAGTTTTGGAAGATTTTCAGGGCACAAAATTTTTGTTCATCTTGAAAAGCATGAAAAATGCGGAGTAGGTTGAAAAGCATTGAAATCTGCTGGGACTTGAATTAAGCTTGGGTGGGCTGTTTTCAGTCGCTCTAAACGTACTTCAATTGTTTTAAGATTGGAATTTTGGAGGAAAATTGCAAAACAGAGGAGCAAAATCACTTTTTTGCTGAGTTTTTGGTACAACGAAGTGAGTTTTTTTGAGTGATTTTCTGAACATTTCCGAGGACGCCCTTGCACTTTGAGAAAAAATTTCGCACAATTTGTAGGAAGATGTCTTTATCCCTTGAAAATTTATTAACAATATCAACAATTGATTAATTTGGTTTGAAAGAATGCAATATTATCATCTAAAATATAATCTAATTTTCAAAAAAAGGTTTTTTCTAGCAGTTCGTTTTTTTCTAAACCAAAAATAGTTTTCGAAAAAAATTAAATTCGTTTTTAGAAATGCTTAGAACTTTCTGCTATACTTGTTTACGTTTTGAGATAGCCCCCATTTTATTATTCTAATAAGAAAATGAGCTGTTTTTCAAAAAAAGCACCCTCCTTCCTCCCTCGGTACCGCGACTTTTCGCAACAAATGACAGTTCCCAAAGTTAACGAGATCTACAGCTCGCTAGATTCAAAACTGACTATAAGCGCTGTATTAACAAGTAGAAACCGCTTGCTCCCTTTCGCTTCGTTGCGCTTAAATTCCGCACTAGTGACTGCGCGTGAATCGGTTATGACTGTTCATTTAAATGGTTCTGCTTAGTATGAAAAATATATTTTTAATTGGTTACATGATTTTTGCCAGCCGTCGCTTTTGCGAGTTGTCGTATTTTGAAAGCCCTAGATCTACAAGGCAACTAATGCGAGGTCATTTAATTCTCTTTAATTAAAATAATAAAAAGAAAACAAATTTCGAATGGAGAATTTAACTTCAATTTTGTCTCCAATATTTTTACATACTATGATCATCATTCATCATTTGATATCAATAAAAACTATAATTCGGAAATTGTAATTGATCCAAACATCGGGAAATTGTAATTGATCCACTTTACTCCGAAGGGTTTGATTCGATTTGGACTGGCTGTGGTTGAACACTAGGCAAAATCAGAGGAGGCGACTGTCTTCTTGGGTTTGAACCTGTAGTCCCATAGTCTCTTTTGCTCTCCGAGGTCTTCGGCCAAAACGGAGTCTCCTCCTCTCTTGTGCTGATAGTCCCACAGACGTTTGCTCTCTTCTCCACTTCGTTTTGCCTGATAGCCGGAGAGCTTTTAGAAAAGGTGGCCATATTTCGAGAATCTTATAAACATATCAAAAAAATGAAAATAATGCGTCCTATTTATTTTATACGAAAAAGTATTTGTTAAAATTTCCTTTTTTGAAACAAAATGATTAAAAATATTGTGCAATGCGTCTAATACGTCTGAAATTTTAGAAAAAACAATAAATTTTAAATTTGACTTTATCTTAAGCTAAATGAATTTCATGTTTAAATTGTAGCAAAAATCTGTCGATAATCAACGTTTGCATGTAAAAACTTTTTATGATAAATGATTTGGCCAAATTTTTATGAAGACTTATTTAAAAAGGAAAGGACCAATATACGAGCTTCAGCTCGTCACGGAGAACCGCGGTTGTGTTCCTGGTTAGGATCTACAGGCATTTTTTTTGGTTATTTTTCATTCGATAGTTTTTCATCCTAATGATCGTCTATATTTTTAACAGCAGACCACCTGTTCTAATACATCACCTGATAATCCCATAGACGTTTTTCCTCCGAGTCGTCACTTCGTTTTCTCTGGTAATCCCAAAGTCGTTTCTGCTCATCGTTTTCCTCGCTTCGTTTGCCCTGGTAGTCCCACAGTCTCTTAGCGTCGGGCGAGTCTGCCAAATCCATCATTCTCGGGTGTCCGCCGTCCAAAATATTCGCATGAACTAGAAAAAACAGTTGACAAAAAGTATATCAAAAATTAACATCTAGAAACTAAACTTGTCAAAATTATATTAAAACTAAAACTTTTTTGCATACAATTGGCTTTCAAGGGCAAAGTAAAAAAAATTAATAGTAGCAGCGTGAACAAATACGCAATACGCTAAGGGACGTAGCGACAAAAACATGTGAATGGGGGGGGGGGAGGTTTTTGAGACCGAGGATGGCGGTGGCGCTTTTCCAAATGAGGCTGAGAATTGATGTTAAGCTTTAAGGGCAAGGCAATAATAGCAAAAGCATTTTTTATATAAGTAAAAAAAATAGGCCAGCCTTTTTTCTCATGCATTCACCATATCGGTAGGTTTCTAAATTACTCGGCCGAAAAGCTCAGAGCTGGTTCTTTTATATTAAATTCTCACTTGATTCTAGAAATGAAACAATAGTATTGACTCGTTTACATCATTTGAAACAAATGGTAGAAGGCTATCAGATGTTGTGACCTGTTTCTAATCTCCTTAAAGGTGCAATAATTACCAACAACCAAAACAAATAAACTGACAAAATACACGCAAGAGACTCTGGAAGAGCTTTTACTTAACTCTTAAGTACTTAACCGAAGACTTAACTTAATTGAAAACTGAATCATGAATGAAATGGTTCCACTTAATATGCTATTACATTCAACCCTTTGACACAAAAGGGAACTTGGATTGACTTCAATCACAAGGTAACATTGTCAGTAAATTGTCTCGAAACTAAATAGAAGAAATTATAATCCTGGTTTTTATCCAAAAAATCAGACCATTTGTGCTTTTCTTTGTTTCTTCAACTTCCACTGAGAAACTAGCAAGAATGTCTTTGTCTACCTGAAAGACAGACAAAAAAGAAAGAAGGAAAGAAAAACCAAAAATAATTTTAATGGAAAAAAGTCATAATTCTATCTCTAATCTTCAAAGTTAGTTGTTACAAGTTGTCATAACTTGTTATAACTACAATACAAAACACTCATATGCGTTTGTTGAGGCAAAGTTTAATTTTTAAACAAAAGTCTTTTCAAAGACAATTTATTCACGGGGGAAAGAATCAGCTGTTTGCTGAGAAGCCGCCTTGTTGTTCCGACTTTCGATACGAAAGTAACGGAATATTTGTGCTCGGGGTCGGTTTTTTTTTCTTCAGACAAATTTCGACGTTTTAACTAGCCATTTTTGACGAAATTTTTTTATATCATTCGAAAGGTATTGTTGTCCTAAGCTTAAATTTGAAAAGATATTTTACCTGTGATCGTTTTTCGTAAAGTTACGGGGGTTTAAAGATTGCCATTTTGGCCAATTTGGGACAATTAACGCGCGATATATTTCGCGCTATTAACGCGCAAGCGGAGAGTTAATCCGTCTAAGAAATAGTTCGAAATTGGTTGAAAGAAGCTTATTTGCCATAATTGATTTGTTACAAGGAGCGAAATCTATCCTTTTGTACTTAATATGGCGTGTGGGGGGATGATTTTCTTTAAAAAAAATGAAATTTTAGAAGAAAAAAAATTTCATTATGTTTTATTTCATTTAATTTCTTAAATGTTATTACTGTTCCATAAACATTAAAAGGCGGTCGGAACATTCCGGGTTTCGCCCTGATACGAGCAGTCTTGTTGTGTTGTGCTATTGGTCTTTTATTGGTTATTGTTTGGGCTGCTGAGAAAGGCTGCCTCTCTTTCAAGCAACGGGTTCTAATCATAGTGGGATACGAATTTTTGAACTTTCGATTCACAAGCCGAGACTAAGCCACATCAAAAACCGCTCCCCTGCGATGGAAAATTTTTAAAATGCCGTTGTTTTGGGTTGCACTGTTTTTGTCTGGAGTCATGCTTAAAAATGAAAAAAAAAACAGCAACGTTGACACAAGATATCTGAAAAAAATCGCTCAATTTTTAGGATCTCTCTGAAAAACTCCTCATTGCAAAAATTTTGAAAAAACAAGCAAAATAAATTCGGAACTTGCATTTTCAATCATAATAGCCAACGACATTTTTTATTGGGAAAATATCACAACAACAATTTTTTAGACAAAACATCATTTGAAAATTTAATAAAATTTTCTGTACATATCTTTTTGTGTAAACCTTGAAAACAAAACTCTCTGAGTTAGCCATGTTTTGATTGGCCTCAAAAGTTCTATTGACATACCTTGGGACCTAACAGCTCCGATTTGTTTTTTAATATTAGCTTCTAACGCATTTTTTTTCAACCTCTGAAAGAATTTCGTTCCTTAAAGGTTTTCAATTTTTTGCAAAAAAAACAAACAAATTGGCAACCCTATCAAGTCAACGCTTAGAGATAAGTATTAAATGATTCATTCTCGTCCACAGAATCCTAAAAACCTTTTAAAGATTGTATTTATTGTTCCGACTTTCGATACGAAAGTAACGGAATATTTGTGCTCGGGGTGGGTTTTTTTTTCGTCAGACAAATTTCGACTTTTTAACTAGCCATTTCTGACGGAATTTTTTATATCATTCAAAAGATATTGTTGTCCTGAGCTTAAATTTGAAAAGATATATTTCACCTGTGATCAAGTTTCGTAGAGTTATGAGGGTTTAAAGATTGCCATTTTGGCCATTTTGACCAATTTGGGACAATAAACGCGCGTAAGCGGAGATTTAATCCGTCTTATAAATCGTTCCAAATTGGTTGAACGAAGCTTATTCGCCATAGTTGATTTGTTACAAGGAACGAAATCTCTCTTTTTGTACTTTATATGGCGTGTGGGGGGGGGATGATTTTCACAAAAAATTTCAAATTTTAGAAAAAATGTTCATTTTATTTTATTTCATTTAATTTTTTTATGCTTTTACTGCTGCTCCATAAACCTTAAAAGGCAGTCGGAACATTCAGGGCTTCGCCTTGAAACGAGCAGTCTTGTTTTAATTGTTTTAATTGGAATCTTTTCTCTTGACTAATTTGTGCGTGCTCTTAAAAATTTAGTTTTGATGCTTAAAAACACTAATTCGATTTATTTATGCGTGGCAACTTTTTTCGCACTCATAATCATACCAAACTAATCGAATAAAGTTATATCGGTATTTTACTGAGTTAATAGCGCTAAATATTTAACATGGGTTGTTGGGGTAGGAAAGGCAATGACCAAAATTTCAAAATACAACATTTATTTAAACGTTTTGCACCAAAAACGATTCAAGACCGGTTAAAGGACAGTCCTGATATGAGAAATCTTGTATCACCAATTTTGATCCAATGTTTTGGAAAAATGGGTGCAGTTTTTCTGAATGACTTTCTTTTAGTGCATATGGTTCCATAACCCGTATGATTTCTGTTAGGCCTAGAAATAAAATTATTATTTTTTTGAATCTATATTTTTTAAGCACTTTTGAAAATAATCTATCCACAGTTGAAAAAAGTATGCTTTCACCTGATTTTAAATAGGTATTTAGCCAAAAAAAATTGTTCAGTACGACGCAAAAATCAATTATATCGATCAACTTTTTGTGGTTTTGTAGCAATGTCTTGAGAGAAGAGCCATGCAAAATGGGTATTCACCAAAACAAAACAAAAAATATCAGTTAAAATTGATCATAATCGCAGTTTTGTCAGTACGGGTAAGTTTGAGAAGTAGTGTCTTGCAAATGAACTCGATCTTAGTACGATGAATTTTTCATGGGTGCATTTAAAAACGAAATAGCAGGAACTTACCATATAGGGATGCAAAAACAGACAGCAAAACAGCAAACAAGGCGAATTGAGTCGACATCTTTGGACACTTTTGAGGACTGTTTGTTGCACTTCAATCGGGGAAAAAAATCTCTGCCTTAAGGCCGCTTTGTTGATTCTCTTCTGATAGGAAAATGGTCCGGCTCAAAAATGTTTCCCAACCACAATGAAGAACTTCAAATACCAATTGCACTTTAAGGAGAGAACGATGGATGGTTTTATTTGTTAAAGTAATTTTTTATTTACTTTTTACTAGATAAACCCACAATACTTGCGTTGTTTTTGATATCAATGACTACTCAATATCGGGCTCATTTAGACATCTCTCTAACAAATTGAGAAAAATGAAGAAGTATTGAAAACCTTTTAACTTGGATTATAATCAATAAAGAAACGAGATATATATATGACCGCTACTTATTTGAATTTTATTGCAATCGATCAAAATACATTCTAAATTATGAACAGGTGACTCAATAAATCGCTGTCCTATTTTTTCTGTCGACTTCTTCAATTTTATAATTTTTCTTCTTTGATAATAAAGTCACTTTTTGTCATTTTATGGAGGCGATTTACGGTTTTTTCTGCTTATTTTAGTCTCAATTTTTGAACCGATTTCATAACTTGGGGGGAACAAAGAAAAAATGAATAAGTGATGCAAAGCATAAGCACGCACCAAATATTTGTCTACAAACGGGTGAAATATTTCAACAGATGGAATTTCATGCATGTTTTCTGTTTTATTTTGAAGATTAATAACTGCCTCCGTCATAAAAAGAATTAATTGAAACTATTAAAATAAAAATCACTGGAAACACCTACTCAGCAAAATCAATAAAAGAAAAAATGGAATTAATCCAATAGACGCACATGTTGGAAGGTGGCCATCTTGGAACCGCCTATCTTGTATCGAGATCCAAGAAAAAAAAACTAATTATCCAGATGCTTAACCAGTCGATCACTAAAATTCACTGTCTTTTTCCCGTTTGCTTTTTCATGATTCGACCTACGACAAAAAATCACGGAATATTTGTTGTCGGGTAGTTTTTTTTCTCCACACAAATTTCGACTCGAACACTCATTTGACTAACTATTTTAGTCTAGCAGATTGGGTGCAAAGGTCTACATGATCGTATGATAGAGGCGGGGACAAAAAGGTCAATACACAGGCCGAGTTGCTCACTTCTTGTTTCGACTGTCTCGACCAAAACTCGGTCTGTTTCGACCGTCTCGACTGTAAAAATTCATCATCGGTTTATATGCAAAACGTCTTCATTTAAAAACCTCTTTTTCGACTCATTTTTCACAACATTTGCTTGCCGCGCAAAAATTTAATCGAAAAGGGGTTTTATTGTGGACTGAAAACGTTCGGAAAATCCATTTGATCGAAAAATCAATCAATTTGATTGAAAATACAACAAAATTCTCAAAATTTCTATAAAAATCTGCTCATCCTCGAAAAAATTCTAGATCAGACCCTGTCTGCACTAGTGACTCTGCTCAAAAAAAAACAGAGACTTTCAGAATTAGTTTTGACTGCGTTTACTGTAATAGCAAGTAAATAACAAGAGTTTTTGCTTAATTTTCTCAGTTTTCAATTTTGCTCAGTTTTCGATTTTGATTTTTTAAAATTAAATTCTTTGAGACGGCAATTTTATGTTCGGTTAATGAAAAAAAACTTTTCGTTTCAATTTTTAAGACAAACACAAGTTTTCACGAAAATTTTTCATTTGTAATTTGTCATGTTTTGTCAAACTAACACCACTAAAAAATCAAATCTACTAATTTTAACATGCATACAAAGCATAATTTTAACAAGCATTCTGACGACTTTGCGCCGTTTGAAAAGCAAAAAAAAATTAAAGCAAGTTTGTTCAAGCAAACCCTGCACAAAAACAAATGAAAAAATTCAAATAACAGCAAAAAGACACTCCTTTAAACTCAAAAAAAATAGCAACCAGCATGCCACGGATCCAGAAAAAAATTACTATTTTTAGAAGTTCAATATGTAAGTTGGATGGAGACATGAGACAAGAATTTAAAGCCTTCAAGTCGATTCTTACAAGAGTTTTACAAAATAGTAGGCCTTAAAATAATTCAGAAAAAAGTAAGTGACAGTATCAAGGCAACTGTATTTCGCGAAAAAAGGAGCTGGATAGTTGCTCCCCAGTCCATAAACACTTCGGATTTTTGATGAAACTTGCAGAAACCTTTTGTTGCAGCATACTCTACTTGCTGTTGAACTTATCAATTCTTACATGCATTTTGTAGGTCTATTGAAATCTTCAAAACTGTTTTCGGGAGAAAAAAAATTGATGGTGACAGATCTGCACCTTCATTGACCGATGTCAAAACTTAATAGCTGCAACACAATCTTTAACAGAATTATGCGTCAACAGCCAATCTGAAAGTTATCAATCTGAAATTGATTGACAGTAACGTCAATTCGCAATTTTTTCCCATAAGGAATGGTAGAAACATCAAAGCTTATTCATACCCTATGCTATTAGATGGCAAATTGCAATTTGGTAATTTTAAGTTAGTAAGCTTTGGATAAAACAGTCCTAGCAACACAAAAACCGAGTGCCCATCTGATTACTGAATCGTAGTACATGTTTACTATAAAATCTTCATCAAATTTAGAGATTTAAAGCATGCATTCCTTCAGCTTTAACTTCCATATCATGAAAAAAAACTTTATCTTATATTGTATTTCTTTTTTTCTATGTAAACGGCAATGGTTTTGTCAGAAGATTAAAAAATTTCTCTTTCTTGACTAAAAAATCACTGCTTCATTTTTTGCCATCGCTTCATCTCGAGATGATCTCAACCTTTGTTTATTCTTTCCTTTTTGATTTATTAATTTTGTTTTCATCATCGTTAACAGCTGTAAACTATAAAACCGAGACAAAAGCTCAGAATGTCTGAACACCCTTAAAAGAATCCATCTTCCTGTTTATCCCATTTTGTTTGTTTCCAGAAGCAAGTATGAGAAAAAAAACAGTTATTAGAATATGATTTAAAATGATTTCTGCTATCATTGTTTCATTTTTAAATCCATTTGGCGTCGTTCTCAGAAAATTGAATTGAAAAGGTCCTCTTGAGTCAAAGACAATTTAAGAGAATCTGTGTCCGTTTGGTGCTTTCAACCCGGGTTGACCTCCATACACCGAAAATGCTTATCATACGATTCCATACAACAAAAATCGTTGTCACACAATTCCATACATCAAGTCTATGGAGAAAATGCTTATTATAAAATTTTCATACATTTCCAAAAAAACAATTGAAAAAAAAGTTTAAAAGATGTCTGCGGCTTTTTGAGCACAGTTGAACAGACTGCTGATGGAAAAAACTGGCTTCAATTTTTTTTTGAAAAACATGCTTACCATACAATTTACATATATGAAAATTGTATGACACGCATTTTCGCCATTAGGAATAAATTTTTCGAAAACTTGCGGTTTTTGGAAGTTTCAAATGAGTTGGTAGCAGTTTCTCAAATAATGAGAGCAAATTGCCATTGAATTTGAAAAACCACTTGGAAAAAATATATATTTTTATGCCCTTGTGTAATAACACTGTTCTGGATTTTTTCAAGCAGTAAAATAGTTCACCCAATTGAAAGTTTGAATTAACAAAATACAATTTTTACTCAAAATTTTTGATCTCTCCAGAGTTAACGTGAAGGCCAACTAGATCAAGTGATAGAATAGTGCACTAATACACAAAAAATGGGGTTTTTGAGAAACAGCTTCCAAAAATAATTATCGGAGAGAATTGAGTGACCTATCAAATTAACACTCTTTCAGTCGTGACTCAGGCGACATTAAAAACAATTTGAAAAAATTTTCCCAGTGTCGAAAACAACGGTTTGAAATTTTCGGTTTTTCCTCTTAATTCGAGCGATAAAAGCGAGCGAGCAAGTTTACATTAGCTTCTAATTTTAATGTTTTAAAAGTTTACAATCGCTTAATTTAAGCCATATAAATTTAAATTCTGTACGTATGGAAGATGCAAAAATTTTTTCAAATAAAATCCTCTGGTGTTATTTACTGCTTTTATCAATAGGGGTGGTAATTTTTAAGGAGATACCAAAGGAAGGGCGATTGTTGAGTAGATCCCTAAAAATTAATGCAGATTTTATAATTTTGGTCTAGCTTGGTAAGTTGAAAAACTTTTATCTCGGGGCCTCCTATTTGTCTAACACAGTTGACAAGTATTCAACTCGATTCCAAGTGTATCACTATGCAACCAATTTTCCAGATCTTTAATCAAAGCAGCAACGTATTCAAACACTAGTTTTAATTTGAACCAAATACCCAATAATCATTCATCCAATGGTGTCTAATTTTTTTTAAAAGGGATCTCTGAGCACGATACTCCAATATTTGACTTACGTTCGGAATCCACTTGACTCTTGCTTGTATGTCAAAACTTGTCCGCTTTAGTGTTTGTAAAATCTGAACAATCTGGACAGGGAATAACTCTGCTCATACCTATCCCCACTTTCCCACGTGAAAAATTTAAAAACCCAAAAAACTTAAATTTAAATTTGACAATTTAAAGATATAACTAATGAGCTGACAAGAGCATTTGCTTGGCTAAGAGTTCAAAAAATTTGTGAACAACAATTTGCAGTACCATGTTATGTGCAACTTTCATCAAACCATATTTTTTCCTTGAGCACAATTCTGTTCGCTTTTCAGGACAAAGCCCTGAATGTTCCGATTGCACTTTAAAGCCACTAAAAGATTTTTTTTGTTTTTTTTTCTCTTCTTTACCCCTCTCCCATACGCTAGGTATATTACGAATTCCACTGCTTACGCGTGCTATATGAAGGATATACATTGTGCGCTAATCAACCCAAATTGGCTGAATTGTCATTTTTCAAAACCCATAACTTTACGAAAAAATATTATTGGTGATTTTTTTTCACAAAAATGCTAAAAAATGATGACTTTTATAAAAGTGTAACGTTTTTCAAGCATTCTGCTGTGACGAAACATATACTGTTTTACGTCAGCTGAGCTTAACTGTTAATGAGATGATGAATGTCACTATGATTTTAAGTTGCGCGTCTACCCGGAATGACGTCCCCGAGCATATCGATGCCTCTCAAGCATCATTACACAGGCTTCAAAACGCAAAATGAAATCTCTTTAACTATTCACCCCCCTTTGGTGCAAAATAATGAATTGCCACCCCTATAACGAAGAAATTCAAGGATTCAGCGTATGTGAATTTTGTACCTAGTAAGGAATCTCCTCTCCCTGTTGCGAAAGGGGGATAAT